TCCAATTCGAACTTGTGCTGCCCTTCTTACCTCACCTTGCCATCTTCTCCATGAGTTGCTTATATCTTCAGGAAGCGATGTATCCCAGTCAATTTGTCTACGCCACACTTCGCGTAATAATAGTTTAGCTCCAATCGTAATCTGACATAAAAATCCCAAAGGATCATATATTGACATAACATAACTGAGCAACTCTCTTTTTGTAGGCGATCGACATCCCTGAATAACTTCTTTATCAACACGCGGAAACTTTAGTTCGTACCTGAATGTGTCATCTTGCGGCTGCCACATCAGACCCAGCACTTTTCCTGAAACTAAATTAGATGCGCCAAACTGGCTGCTCTTAATAGCGTCGTCACCATTTTCTCGGAGCGCCTTGGCTACGTCGGGTAAATTTGACATGAAACCACGCATCTGAAACCCAGCAGTTTTGTGAATATCGCGTACCTGTTTAGCAACTCGAATCGCCTCCTCGACTGACACAAAACTGTCAACAAAATCGTCAACATAATGGTGCTTGACTATGGCTTCTATCGCACGTGGAAAGGATTCCGCATATTGCAGTGCGTTTTAACGTATTGCGCAATGCAAGGCGAGCACGCAGCCCCAAAGGTCATGACCTGCATCTCGTAAACATCGGGCTCACGCCTGTCGTCGAACCTCCACAAAAACCTTTGCGAGCACCTATCTTCAGGCCGCCCGAAACTTGATGGAACATATCTTTTATGTCGCCACAAACTGCAACCGCTGCCATGCGAAAATTAAAGAGAATATTTACCAAAAGCTGATAGTCTTGTGGCCCTTTTAGCAAACAGGAATTTAGAGAGATGCCATCGATACATGCAGCTGCGTCGAACACCAGACGTATTTTACCTGGTTTGTTGGGGTTTACGACAGCGAAATGAGGCAGATACCACAATCTTGGATGAGCCGTGTTAACCTCCGCATATGTAACCTTTCGAGCGTAGTTGCTGCTGATGTACCTTTGCATAATACTTTTGTAGGCGGCGGCAAAAGTTGCATCTTTCTTCATCTTTCGCTCGATTCCGAATAATCTTCTTTTGGCCATTTCAAAACTATCTGGCAATTGAACATCGTCACTACTCCATAAAAGTCCCGTTTGGTACCTACCATTCACTCGCGTTATCGTTTTTTCCAATATGCCTTCGGCTCGTATATCTGCTTCTCCTTTCACGGGTGGCGCCGCTCTCACTCCAAAATTTTCAATATCAAAATGACGCTGAATTAAGTCGTGCAGATGTTGATCGTAAACCTTCCCAACATGCAGACACATTGCCACCGGTGTGTTATCTTCGCCTATTGGTCCGAAAACCACCCATCCTAATTCTGTATTAGCTGCGAAGGGACCCCGGTGGGAGAGCTGAATGGTTTCAGAGGGCATTCCTAGGTGACAATTATCTAACCCTATTAATAGCTTAGGCGTCGCATTTGTGTAAGGCCTAGGCATGTTCGGAAGATTTTGAGCGATTTTCATTAAGTCCCAACTGCTAAGACTTTGTGTTGGCAAGTTGATATTGGAAACAGCAAAAACACGGCGTAAACTATGCTTCTTACTTAAGCCTTTCCCACTAATTCTAAACTTAACTACCCTCGCTGATTCTTGTGTGGATCTACCACCAAACCATTGAATATTAAGTTCGCGTTGTTCACCTCACTCATTAACGATATCCTTATCTACCATCGTTATGGAAGAGTCTTCATCAAGCATGGCAAATGTATTAATTTGTTTTCCTTGACCATAAATAGTTACAGGAACCACGCGAAACAGAAGTTTTTTCAGAATTGCTTGATGATAGTGTGCAATTCAGAACAGGTTGCACGATGCTTGACGAAGCTTCAGTACGCATGACCGGCTGCACAGTACCGGCGACAGAATTGTTATTGTATTCATGCAACAATTTGTTGTGCCACCTTTTACATCCTTCAATTGAGCAGACTACACGATTGCGACACTCGAGCGCTGAGTGACCATTCCTGAGGCAAGCAAAGCAGAGGCGATGACGTTTGACTTCCGCCCATCTCTCTGATACGTGGCATGCGAGAAACTTTTTACAAGTGTAAATTTTATGTAAGCCCCGGCAAATAACACAGTTGGCTGTAATTTGACACTTCATGTTTTCTTTGTTACTATTTTCGACCGTATGTAAAACTACTCGTCGACGGCTTTCGCAATCTTGCAGCGTATAAACTATATTGGCAACTTCGGTCAACCAATTGCTAAAGTCAGCTACGGTAGGATAAGGCTTTATGTTTGAAGAATATTTTGCCCGATCCATTTTCTTACTCATTGGAAGCTTACCGATTAACCCGTCTAAAAGAGTAGGATTTGCTAAATGTTGGAAACCATTTACTGACTGCAAGAACGTAGCCAGATTTTTAGTTTTCGAAGCAAATGGTATCAATTTATCAATAGCAGCCTCAGAAATTGGAGCTATTCCTTTTATTTGACGTAATTGGCTGCGGATTAATAATTCCGGTCGCCCAAACCGAAGCTTAAGTTGCTCCATCACTGCGCTGACATTGTCGGGATGTATAAGAAGAGACTTCACCACTTCTCTTGCTTCACCTCGCAAACTCTTTAACAAACGTTGGTTATTCTCTAGGTTAGTGTAGCCATAGGCTGTGGTAGATTGATAAAAAACATTCGAGAATAATGGCCAGTCCTCAGGGCAACCACTAAATTCCGGAAAATCTAGGATTTTTCGGGACACTGAAAACCCAGCGGCCATGTTTGGCAATTGGGATGGTGGAATTCCGTTCAGATATGAACTTTGGCAAGTTGTTGTTGTCGTTGTTTGACCAGTCGCCGCGTTTGAAAAACTATTATTTGCATAATGTGAGAGGGGAGCGCGTGAACTTATAGTAGGGGGAGTCTGTATACCCGAAAGGATATTGCTTAGTGAAGCATATGGAGAAAATCGTAAATGTTCTACACCATTTTGTATATTACCGCCCGAAAAATCTGTCATGGCCATGTGAGTAGCGGTATGTGTACTGCTGGGAGCAGTTAAGCAAACAGTGGCGTCGCTGTTTTGGGTTCTGCCAACGACGCTGCTGGACGTCGGCATAGAAAAAGTACCGTTGAGGCGCAAGGCTTCTTCAAATGATGCGCGCTGATTGTTACTTTCCCTAAGCTGCACTTGCGTGTCGCGTAGTTGGGACTCCAACGTATTTAATTTTTCAAGCAAAAAACTCACCTGTTGATTGTCAATAAATTTTACTTGCGAGGAGGATGCATGTTCTATATTTCCAGATAAGGCGGCATTCGTGACAACAGGAGCATTGATGGCGGCTGACATGGAGTTTGCGACGACTACACCCTTGCTTATGGTGGTGTTGGGTTTCGTGCTAATGCGTGCAGTGGTGGCCGTGGTGGTTATTACTCTGGAGGCTGGTGCACTGATTGTGCGGGCTACTTCAGTGACACCAGGAGTCGATGCAACGTTTCCAATCGAGGCAGGATCTTGGCCGTTTTTTTCCATGTTGGATGAAGAACTCGTTGCTGGCGTTGTGATTTGCTGGGCTAGGCGTGGACTTCTTCTCGGGGGTGTTCTTAGCATTCCTTTTAGTGACTTCTTGCTGCTAAATTCCTTTTCGCTCCGATAACATACAATTAAAAAGCACAAGTAACGGTTTGCTACATTAAAAGACAAAGCAAATTGCGGCTGGCGGCGGCAGCGCTGTTACAAAAGGTCCGCTGGCTGCGGTTCCGTTAGTCTGAAAATTGCTCGCTGGCTGCGACCGAAGTGCGAAATAAAACTTGTAGTATCGTAACTGCGAAGGGCTATTGAAATCAACGTGTACTAGG